TCCCTCCACTATAGAGTACATTCACTCAGAGAAGGTGACGATCAAAAGATAAGTCTTAGAAGTTTCCGTTTTTAATCCAGAAGGAGGGCAAGAGATTAAGCACAAATCCGTTCCCCGGAGGAAGCAAGCATCTTGTTCCAGAGTCACTTGTGACCTCCTGTCACTCTTAGCGCGCTGGACACCTGATGTTCATAAAAGAGAAGTGCGCGCCATCAACCTCGCCCGTGAAAGATGATGCCGAGTTCGGGGCTAAGAACTGATTCTTTTCAAAAAGACTCTTAGAAATGGTAACATCAAGTAACAGTTAAATGTACTTTAATTCCTTCAAACAGAAGGCTATCTTGAAGGTACATCAGAGAAGTTACTTCATTGAGTTCAGTCTCTTAAAAAAAAAAAAAAAGCATGGCTTCAAAATCCAGGAACAGTGTCCAATAAACAAAATCGTTATGCACCTGTTTTAGCGTGGTACAAAGAGAAGCTTACAGATTCAAATGAATGGCATAAATGACTGAGAAATTGATTCAGATAACGCTTGTTTACAGGGACAAAAACTATGTTGACAAGTATGAATAAGCACACAGATACTGTTTAAAAAAACCCAAACCTTTCTAACTGTATTTACACACACACAGATGTATTTGCTTTCCTTTGGCACTAGAAATTACAGACAAAATATTCCATTTTATAGCAATTAAACTTCAAACCTAAAATAATAATATACTTCGAGTCATTTAAGTCATACGGCCCCAGCACAGTAGCTTCACCTTTATTTCCACCAACTCTGTATTCTAACCCTGGAAATTCAGGCCACAAAGCCTGAACTCAGCTGCCACCTGTGACAAATTTCACTCGGCAGGATTAACTGGATGTGAGGAGCAAAAGCAGCTGTGAGGAATAAATGAGATACAGACAGATACTTAAGAAGAATGAATCTCCCATTCTTATCCAAGGTGGACATCTACCTTTAAATGTTCTTTATATGCATATACAAATTAAATCAAGTAAAAATGGACACCCATTACATAGATTCAGCCAAATTAAGACATTAAGTGAACAGTCAGAGCAGATGATGGCCATCTGTAGTACTTCGTCAGCATTGCAGAGAAATGTGTTAATCCCTACTAATTTCCATTGCTAGGAAAAAAAAAAGATTACACTTAACAATTATGTTTTATTCTTTTAGCATGTTTGTTTACTCCTTAGCCATTACCAGGAGTAAACCCTTAAGTTTCACAGGAAATTCAGTATTATCAGGACAGTAGCAAGAGTGTTTTGGCACCCTGTAAAATCCTAAAGAATGTGCAAAAAAAAAAAATTCAGAAGTAGCATTTCATTATCCAGACTTCTCATTTCTTGTTCATGGTATTTGACTTTACAGAACCTGAAGCTTTGATTACTTTCAAAACATTTTTTATAGGTTTTCTGCTAGTAACCAACAGGGGTGTAACAATGGCACAGTATTTTTCCTAAAGCATTAAGGACTAGGAAAAAATTCTTTTCCTTGAAGAACAACAATCAATTAGGACTACATAAAAATTAAGTAACGAGGCATCATGGCAAGTAACAGCACATCAACCCTCTACCACAAGAGGAAGCAGTTTTCAATCCTACAACAAAAAAGGAATCAAATGAAAAAGAATCTAAAATTTATACACTTTGTAGGTTTTGTTCCTTCTCTCTCTAGATGGTAAGAAGCCATTACCAATTAACATTTTACTTTGCTCTGCAAGCAGGATCAGGGCAGAAGCTTTTGTTGAGATGGAATAAAGTAAATGGTTGCCTTACTTTTGCATTGATCACATGCAGACTGGACATTGTATTGTCTCTGATAACTGGATTGAATCCAAGCTGGACCAGACACTTACAAATGTTTCCCCCACACACATTATTTGGGCATGTCTCAAATAGACATTAATCTTGTTCTGCTAAGTGTATTCTTAAGCATCAAAAAAAGATGAATTTGACTGTAGCAAATTCTGTGAGGAAAAGGAATCAGAGAATATAACAGCAAGTCTTCCCAGAAGACAGTCTTTTCTACACATCCAAAGAGAACTAGCTGTTTGAATTTTATATTAGCTGATACAACATTTTTTTAAATATTTCAAAAGCACAGCATGTTAAAACAACTTTCATTACACTTTGTGGAATACCAGTACCAACAACCTCTGTGAAATTGTTACAAGCTACTCAAATGCAGTCTCTTAAAATGAAAGAGTACAGTATATCTAACGCATATATACATGCTGCTACCAAGGGAAGAAAGCAGTGAAGTAGCAACTTTTTATACACGAGCTTCACTAAGAATCTTGCTCTTTGAAATAGCCCAAAAATTAGCTTGCACTTAAGATTTATTTTCAACTGAAAAGACTTACAAAACCACCCGAATCTTATTATAAGACGCCTTGGTCTTTTTATCCTGAGCTTGCATGATATTTTCATGCAAACTGATTTACTGGAGATACAGTACTGCAAGTTACTACTTAAAAAAAATACCTAAGAATCAAGTGATTTTTCTTTCTGCAAAACATGAATATAAACCTGTCTTCACACAGGGCATATGCACCTACAGCCCTGTCTGTTACAGAGTTAGGTAATTCAAGAAATGGAGCGTGCAGTAGTAACTGCCAAATGAAACATTTTACAAGTACTGAAATAGTGGAAACTAAATGAACTGATTATCAGTCCATGCAACCACAACGTTGCATTGCACTACATAAATACTGACCAAATGCCCCCAAAAATGCCAAGAAACTACAAGCAAATTCAAAACAGGATATTAAAACTGTTTCTTTCAGTGAAGACCAACCAGTCCCTTTGTGTACACATTTAGTTTATTGTAACAAAGCAACTTGTACACTTTAACGTTTAAAACTCAGCATATTTCTTTCCTTTCCAGTGAAACAAAAAAAAAAAAAAAAAAAGAATTTAAAAATAAACAAGAACAAAATTACAATAGAGAATGTCAATTCCAAATAAGATCCTACTGGTTCTGCTGATTCTCCATCAAGTGGCAGGGCTCATAGTCATCATTAGGAGAAGATTTTATTTTAAAAGTGTCATCTTAAACTGCAAGGATGTTTGTTAAACATCACAATTAAACATGCCAAAGGAGAAGAAGCCATGTTGTCAAAATGCCCACTTAACCCACCCAAACATCTGAAACCCACCCCGGCTGACCTTCTATAACCCCATTTTTTTTTTTTAAGTTTTTTCTTTTTTTTTAAACAAGAAAAAGTAGACAGATACATGTTGGTAAATGCTAACTGTCCATATTCACATAGAGACACAGTGTAATCTCTGAGCCCAATATACAGAGAAAGAAGGAAAAAAGCTAGATTCTATGCACTACTACACAGGGGCCTAGCACTCTTCAGCTTCCAGCAGAGTGAAGGGAGCAGAAGGTTTTCTTTTTTCCCACAGAACATGGTGTGTTGATTCCATAAACAGTTTTTGTTTTGAGAGAAAGGGATAAAAATGAACTTGAAACAGAAACTGGTAGATTCTTTTCCACTGTATTTTGCTCACGGTATTTCCCCCAAAATAAATTGTGAACCATGGTGTAGAGGAGAGAAAAAGAGACCTCAAGAACAAGGCGACTGAGCACAAGAAAAAAAAGAAAAAAAAAAAAGACAGCAACTTGCTCCCAGGGACTGGAGAAAAATTAAAAAGGTAAAAAGGGGGTTTGGAATCCATCAGTGTTCAATTAGTCATCTTCTCCTTCATCCTCCTATTGAAAGACAAGGAACAATTAGAAAAAAAGCAAATCACTAAACTTCAGATAGCACAAACTTTCCAATGCAATAACCAGAATGTTTTACTACCCTACAGGCTACAGCCCTACAGTGTTACTCATAGCATGCTGTATGATGACCTCTCTTTCCCTCTTCACTAAGGAGTAGTAACACTTGCCATGAGTACCTACCTACATAGAAATCAGTTAATAACTGGATGTCCCAGTGAAAAAACATCAGATTTGAAAAACTACCATGACTTAGAATCACTACAAACATTGACATAACTTTAACATTTAGAAAGTGAAGGGGTCATCTTTCCCCCCTCCCCGTTTTAAACTCTGAAGAGCAAAATGCTTCAACTTTAAGATACTAAATTCTAGGTTACGTAATAGAGCCCAGTACTCTGGTGCCCGCAACAGCCCTCCTATCTCAATACAAGTAGTTTTTTTGCTGCTGAAATTCAGGCACACCACACCCAATTACGGGAAACAAAGACATTCTAAACTTTTAAGTTACCAACACCCCAAATGCTGTCCCTGGAATCCCACTTGCTACTAAAGGAAATTTCTAATTCCTCAACCCAACAGACAGTCTTAGCTAAGCTGGCCATAAGCAGAAATAAACCAACAGGTGGGAGGATGACACAACTGGATGCATCAACAAAAGCTATTTACAAGTAAAGTGTTGCTAGGATGTTCACTAATTAAATAAGAATTTTGTTACGCTAATATCCTAGTTCTTCTAGAGCACTTCCCTTAGAAATTTACTAAAACTGCTTGTTTGCACTGTCTCTCATATACACAAATATACTTATTACTACACTGAAACCACTCCACAAGTTAAAGTAGTTAACAGTTCTGCTTCCCCCCCCAAAACACCTTGTCAGTGATTGTACAGAAAAGAACTATTTTACCTTTGTAACAATGGCTCAGTATTCTTACAAGATCCCTCTTATAAATTTCTTTTGATTCTCATACACCAGAGATGGAAGGGGTAAGATTACTCACCTCTCCTTCCTCTCCCTCATCATCATCTTCATCTTCCTCCCCCTCATCTTCATCTCCTTCTTCGTCAATATCCTCCAATCCTTCCTCCTCTTCATCATCATCATCATCCTCCTCTCCCTCCCCTTCTTCATCATCCATGTCAGGAACCTTAAAGACGCATATGCAACATTAACTACAGTGATCAAATTCACTTTCACTTGCACAGTGCTATTACAGGTATGGATCAGCAAGTCAGTGCTATACTTACCAAGTAGTACTGTAACGGATTTGGCCAGATGTCATCCTTGATGACTTCTCCTAGTTCATCAGCCCCTGCGTCAGAGTGGTCAGTGAACCAGGTAAAGAAACTTTCTGGCTCTTCATGCTGCCTCTTCCTACTGGCTTTGTTCTGTGTCTGGCTTGAACGTTTTGTCAGATCCTGAAAACAAAGTTAAGAAGCTCCCTAAGAATGGGTCTTTACATGGCTTTTTTTTAAGTACCATTTAGAAATGTACTTGTCTAAACAACCACAAGAAGTCACTTAATACTCCCTCTTTCAGGGAAAAGTCTTTAAGAAACATTTGGAATACAAATGACTCAAAGAAGAAGATACCACTCAGCCACTTGCATGTCTCATGAACATAAGAAAAACTGCCTGTTTCTTTTAATGCACTCCACTGAAATACTGAAAAGTCACAGGATCCTGCATCTGATTTGTGCTTCCCTGTAACAGGGAAGCACAAGTATGACAGGTGTTTAATGATATACTGAACTTAAAAGATCTCACAGTGGCTAAATGCTACTGAGAGTAGCTGTAACTGTAGCTAAATGCTACGACTACTACATACACACAATTTAGGAAACACTCAAGTCTCCACACCTCTAAGGTCTGTCTTTAACTTGAGATAAAGAACTGCCTAGCCTTCTTATCCTAAGATTGCCTGCTTTGTAGTCTTCAGCTCATTCTTTGTAGTAAGTAAAAAAAACTACATAAACTGCTAAAAACATATGGTCACAAGAACATACATGAGTCGCGTATCTACCACCTCACCCCAGAAGTTTAATAAGTTTGCAACAATCTGTTTGCTAAGTCTGAAAGTTACTATCCACTATTTAAATCCATTCTTTCTTTGATCATATGCTAATTCCAAACTTCTAGTATTTGTTTTCTTGATAGAATCACAACATTTATAGGTTTAGACTGTTTAATGAAGAACAATACCAGAATTTGCATTGATATGGCAGTATGTTGTAGAGATCATTCAGCTAGTTTGTACTGGACTGTAACTCTTCATACAAGAGGAAAAGTTCTAGTTCTCAATGAAAAAATACTAAGTTTTCTTCTCAATCTGAAGGTGACAAAACAAGCAGCAACTTACCTGCAACCCTCAGTTCTACTTTTAAATACTCATTTCAAAATCTTCAGTATAACACGAAAGTGCTCCTAACTTTTACAGGAACTAACTATGGCAAATTAATTATGTTTGAATACTGTCTGGATGGAAGACATGCCCACATGTTGTGTGGCTGCAACTTCTACAAAGATGTAGTGTCTGCAAATGAAGTTGAGGAAATAAAGAGAAAAAAAATTTCACAAACCCCTATCTAATCCCCCCAAACCCTGCTGTCCTTGGAATTCCTTATTTAGTAGTTATCTTAAGAGAACAAAACACAGAGTCTAGATCCACGCCAAAGACCGACAAGCTAATGCACTTAATCTCTCCATCTGGTCACACTTGTACTTTCACTGAGCAAGAGAATTCACTACAGACCTCCATGTAAATAGGGTATTCCGAACCCTGCAAGATAGGCATGAGCTATGTATGTAGAGAAGTGGCAAGGGGGTTGAGAGGGGAAGAAAAGGGAGGACAAGGCAGCTCCACTACAAGAAAAAAAAAAAAAGTAAAAGGAACATAAAGCAATGGTATCGCACACCGCAGCAACCATCTCTTCCAGATGCACAGATACATACCTTCCCAGATTTCCATTTGATCTCAGTTGATTTTGAAGATGGGTCTCCACTTTCATTGAGGTGAAACTCTTTGGAGAGAACTTTATTTTCAAAGTATGGATTCTCATCAAAATACTGCAGAGTTGAAAGCAAAGAGTTAGAACCTACATAATGTAAAGACACATGCCAAGTCAAACCTGGTATTAAATGGATAACTAAAGAGATTAAGTTACAAACTACAATCCAATATGCAATTACATTTAAAAAACGCCCAGAAAAATCACAAGTGAAGGAATTATTTAAATTATTTACTTACAAAATCTATTCTGTAACCTGATTTGATGTCTTCAAATTCTGTCACCTCAACTCTGGTCAAATAATGCAGTGCTTCCTCATCTTCTTCTCCCAGCAGTGCAGATACTAAGAAAGAATTAGAAATCCCACATTAACAAAGCTATGAAACATGTATCATGCAGATGAAATACAGGAAACTGATAGCAATTAAGATTTGAAAATCAACACATCTGTCCAAACCAACTTTTTGTGGCTTGTTTTTTTTGAGTTAACCAGCCAGAGTATTAGCATTTATGATTTGCATTTGCTGAGGTGAAAACATTACTTTGCTTGTTGTAGCAGCAAAAGCTACCTGCATACATCTACCCTTCTCTCTGAAACACACTTTCACACACGTAGTTTGCCCAATTGAAGCAGCCTACGAACTTGTTTTGTCTTCTCAGAAAGTCTATTGTCAAACCGTCCTAAGGAGCTCACCTCCAAGTAAAAAAAAACCAAAAAACCAGACAAACTAGAACCACCCCACCCCCCTCCACCCCCCGGCTTTGAAGGGCCAAACTAACTAAGAAAAGTGGGAAACTTGTCGTTTAAAATGCAGAAAGAAAACCAACATGGGATTTTAGTGAACAAGACGTTCCTTTGATCAATAAACACAAGAAATAAAAAGTTTATAAAATGCACTCTAGGACAAAAAGGAAATGTTTGCATATGAAGCAGGCTTCTGTTTAAACATATACCCAGCAACAATTCTAAAAAACCCTCCAAGCTGCAAGACACTCACATAACAAGCAAGCAAACACTGAATTTACAGAAAAAAGAATATACCTTGTGGGTGGTTGACAAATGTTGTTACCCAGAAATTCGGGATTTTGGCGATCAATTCTGACCTCTTCTGGAAGAATGGTTGGCGGAGTTTATTGTATTTCTGTTCTACTTTCAAAATTTCCTCACTGGCTTGTTCATTCAGTCTGTAATAGAAAGAGCTGTGTTAACCACAGGAGAGAACTGAAATTTAAAGATGCATCCTCAGTAGTTAGCTAATAACTGAATGGCTCTGATTAGACTAGTCTGCCATATCCAACAAATGAGGTATCTCAACCAAAAAACAGAGGCCCAAACCTGTAACGACTGTTAAGAAACACACTACCAGAAGCAATCTCACTGATCTTAATGAAACATTCTTAACACACTGTACGTTTTGCAGCATTGCACGAGGGACGGACCCTTATTTATGCAAAGCAAAGCAGTATTTGCCTCTTAAACATTTTGTTTGCAAAAGACCTGAAGATGGATAACACATAACACTATCACCTGCTCTTTATAACTTTTGGGCAGGCAAGCAAGCTACAGCAAAGCAATTCTGTACCCCACACAAGTAAAATCTTGAGACATAACATTTAATCAGTTTTGTAAAAAGACAGAGCCCTGATACTGCAACAGCTTTGCACAGCCAGAGCCTCAATAGCACCTGTAGTCTTTGTAGGACAGAGTGCATGGAGATAGGGTTCAGGCAAATACTGACGCAGAGCCCACAGAGTGTTCTGGGATATGAAACTAATGTTTCAGTGACACTTTCTACATATTATTCTACAAGCACAATATATAATTAGGAAAATGTATAATAAAAGCTAACTTTTCAAGTTTTTGGTTCTAACAACATGAAAATACTTTTGCAAAATAGTATACACATTAACTTGAAAAAACAGTAAGAAATAAATTTCTATTATCCAAACTAACACAATTAATTTAAAATTTTAAATTCAAGTTCTATCTTTTTAATTATACACAATTAAACAAGAATCCAGTAGACTTCTTCAAATTTTATCATACACAAATAGCTCTTACATCTAATCAAGTCAGAACACAAGTATATCTTGGCAGGGTTTAAAGAGAGTGAGAACAACTACTGAGCACCTAACTTCACTAAATATTTTTATTTTTGAAAGTTACATTTTAATTTCTGCTAAAACATTTTAAAAGTTTGTTAACGTTTACCTGTCTATTTCATTCTGTACTTCATCAATGTGTTCAATTGCTTCCTGTTGCTCTTTTTCTGAAAAACAAACAAAAATGCGTCAAAATCCCTTCATTCTCAAGTCTGACAAGTCACCTGCGGTTTTCGCTTAAGACCTTTCCTAGTAATCTACTTTAGAAGTGCACAGGTATTTCTATTAAATGTCGTGTTACTAGGCCTTAAAGCTTCAGCTACTTCCAGGGCGTACCACGGCCGAAGTGCAGAAAAGTTTGACAAAACGGCATTCAAAGCAAGTTTACCCCTAGAAATCACAGCTCACGTTCCCCTACGCAGCTTTACAAGTCAACTTAAATGCTAAGTCAATCGTGACAGATTAGTAACGATTTAATTAAAAAGTTGTAAGCCGGATTTGCTAAGACCAACACACGTGAAGGAACGTTAGATAATCTACGGAGGACAAAAGTATCGCTAGAAATAGCGTAACTGGCGAACGCGCCAGCTTCTAAAAACCGAAAAGAACGTTCGAAAGGACGGTGACGAGCGAAAAAGGCCTCCAGGTCGCCGTTTGGCAGGTATTTTCTAACGGGAACTTCCCCTCGACCAGCCTGGCAAAGGTCTCGGTTACAGGAGCACTGTTTACCTATCGCGCCGGGAGATGAATGAACGGCAGCGGGAAGTCGCGGGAGCAGTGCAGCACGCTCACTCCTCCCCCGGTAAGTTTCCCGCACGGCTCAGCCCGCGTTAGGGGACAGCCCTCCCCGCTCCCCAGCTGCGCGGGCGGACGCGCTGCCCCCTCCCCACGGCGGAGCGGCGGCC